ATTTTTAATACTACCTATTTTTAATACTCAAAATAAGTGATTAATTGGCTAGAATATTAAATTTTTATAAATATTTTTATAAATATTATTCCTATCTCATGCGAAAATTCAGGTAATGAAATCAAACAGAATTTGTGTTACTGTAACAGAGCATACAATCGCGTTACGAACGCCAGAAAGGTCATAGAAAGTTTTCGAACATATAGGATGTGTAGAACGGAGAGAATATTTTTTGCGTATGACCGGCATGTACCAAATTACCATGTTGCGTGGAACGTAATTGCGAATTTGTAGTGAAAGCCGTTTTCGTGCTAGTGGTCGAAATGTACAATAAACGTGGTCGCGTGTATCCGGTACTCTAAAAGCTGTATGAACAAGAAGATTAGATAAAACATTCAAAATATAATAGCGCTTCGAAATTCTAACGAAAATAATAGGGAAAAAATAAAAAAGTTCTCGTTCATTTGTTGATTATTTACAGATTTATTTACAGATTGTAAGAGAAGGGGAATCTTTTCTAAATATTTTACATCTGGTCATTTAGCTAATCTTTACTTTATAATAACAAGTTTAAACATAAGACTGACGACATGCTGTATAATTTATTTTATATTGCATTAAGAAGAATTGAAAATGTTGGTTGAAATATCTGCATATTAATTTAGAATACAATAAAATAAATTTTTTTACACACCGACAACCGCGTTGACTCTTATTGTCTTTTCATTTTTGAAATGTAATTTTAGTATAATAACTGGGAAGAGAGAAGAGAATAAAAAGATATTCTTTTTAATTTCTTTTATATTTCTTTTTCTACGAGCAATTCCAAATGATAATTTTTGAATTACAAGTAATCGAAAGGAATATAATGATTGTAAAAGAATAAAAGTTCTTTCTTATTTCTTTTATGTTTCCATTCTTTTTCTATAAGTAACTCATAATCAATTTTTGAGCGACTCAAATTAGAACAATAACTGATTGTACTTAAAAATAAAAGTACGTTCTTTCCTTTATATTTCCTTTCTTTTTTTGGCAAGTAACTTAAAATGATAATTTTTTATTTATATTTTGTTGTTGTTGTAGCAAATAAGCAATATGTAAAAAATGTTTTAAAAAATTCTATGAATTCTTATCTTAATGAAAGAATATATTATTAAAAGTTCAACATGCTTGCTTATTTACAAGTATTACTTAATAGACAGAGAAATAATTAGGAATTCCGACGTAATGCATGACGAGTCTAACGGATATCCAATACTAAAAATGATTTTAAAAATATATCAGCCGATCGGGTCAATTCAGTTCAGTTTGTGTACTGCAAGAACCGAGGAATTGTACGGCAATTCATCATAATTCACAACGGTATAGTCGCGAAATAGTGAGACATTTACAATGATCCGCTTCGACAATCGAATGGCAAACCACTTGATCGTTTAAAAACAATTTGATCGAATTTAACGTGTAGTCAATATAACAATAATTTGTCGGCGTATCGCGCGCGTTCTCAGGCATGCTGTTGTCGAACAATCATTGAGGCTAATCGATTATTCAAAGTAGTCTCTTTCCTCACTAGAAAAACTATGGGCATAAACAAACGGCAATTTAATTTAATCGTTCCTGTGCTTTCAGATTTTAGACACTATCGTTTATTTTACGGAAGAGAGGAAATGCAAGCCAAAGTATATAATCGGCAATATTTATTACGTTCGCAACTCACGCGGTATTAGTACAGAAGAAACTAAACTTATATATCGCAATCGAGAAGACGAGTGGTCGGACTGTGTGGGGAAAAACAGATGGTGTTTGAGACTCGTAAAGTTGTCGATCAAAATTTTCGACTCTTATGTGCCGCAGGCAGAGTTTCATCATAATGGTAAGTAATATCTGCACATTTTTAAAATTAATTTACGCTTTTATGCGCTCGAAAATGTAAAATCACATTCATTATATTCGCCATTAAATCATCGTTTCGCTTTACGTAACTCGATGTACATAACAAATGCTATCCATATTGGCGCACGTAATCCAAATAGCATGGTATGTACATAAGCGATACATGTACATATATTGTGTAAGCTCGGCAAGCGACTCGCCAAGTCGATAACCTTCGTCACGGTCGAACGTCTTGAATCTGTCTGGCTACTCCAGTCCTGTGGTTGTCGAACGAGCGGAAATTCTCGCTCGGTTCCGATTGCCCTTTACAAGATTTACACCGCGCACCCGCATATTGCTGGAGCGCGGAATTGTATTGTCATTCATGCAAATTTCGATGAGCGAGCGGGAGAATTACGTTCGCGAAGTTCCTCCCATTAATCAACGTTTCCTATTGCACTTAGGAGATCAGCTCTCGCGTGCAACGCACCGCCTCAACTCCGCAATACAATTTATTTCTCGCGTTTCTCGCGGACACGTGAAAACGTCCGTGACTTCTCGATGAAAAATTGAGGATGCACCACGTTTTTCTTTCCGTTGAACCTATATAATAAGAATCAACATCGATGTACATATATATTGGCTTCAAAAAACAAGCTCTACGAGCGTGATTAATTATGATTATTTAATTTCATTGTGATTGGTTCTTGTTTTAAGTTTTTACTGAATCTAAATACAAACTAATCATAAAAAGAATCTCGATGCGTTCACTAAGCGGCTTTATTTTCTGCACTTTAACTTTTAATATCAACGATAATATATGCCGATATTTTATTACACGCGACAGATCTCGTATTTCATGTCTTGAGTTAATTTTTAACTGACTTTTACAAATATACAAAAATTATTAAGTGATATATTCGCACATTTTTTATGAAAATATATTCATTACTATTAACCATATTAATACTAATAATTGTATAATTTTGATTTTTTGAAGCTTCGAATATTGAAGTATTTAATAGTGTGAACGTAGTCATTGTTATTTAGACGTTTTAAGTAACATTTACATTATAACATACATGGAAGTTAAAAGTAACAAATGGTTATTTAACTCAAGGGATTAGGTTGCTTCTTTGATGTCTAAGCGTGCAGCCATTGTTATTTGAACATTTAATGCACGGCATTACCGTTTGCATATGTATCGTGGGATGTTCTCGCGCGCGACTGACATTGAAAATTAGCATGTAAGATCGACCGTGTTATGCAGATCAACGCGAGTCTGATGCAACAGGCATTGTCGTACGTTCCGCGAGAAAGCGTTCCTTCAGAAGTGAGAAAGGTCCATTTATGTTTATCATAATGCTTTAATCATAGGCGATCGTGGCTGTAAGGAAAGAAGCTATCGTAAGCATTGTATGTATAGAGGAAGCGCGGATGTGTTAAGATTGAGAAGAAAAAATGACAATTAAAATTGAGATTAGGAACCATTTTTATACTCATAAATCTCTTAAAGAACACTCTAACTTTGAAATAAAATAAAAAAAAAAAAAAAATGAAAAAACTTTAACATTAATATGTCGTTTTAGTTAAAACATAAAAAAAGAGAAACTATCTGCTTTACCCGATTTCCCTGGGCAAAGCAAATGGATCAGCATTTGCAGCTCGAGCAATGCAAATGAAATTTAAAAAATTAGAATCAGTCTTAGCAATCATTACAAAAGTAGCTACTAAATCTATATGTAGTGCAGCCTTCATGGACCCATTTGTTCCAATGACTGCACTAAATTAGTCATAAATAAATCATCATACTACATTGTGACAAAAAATAAACAAAAATGAAATGTAAACAAACACATGCTTTTCGTACATTCGAAAGATCGTCCCTCCGTATTCCCAGTATTTTCATTGTAATATATCGAGTAAAGAGGATGGATCATCCGCTTTGCCTCCACCTGCTTTGCCCAAAGAACATACCTGGCGCAAATTTGGAGAGTTAGAATAAGTTGAAGCACCAAATGAAAAATTTTAACCTCGAATACACGTTTAAAAACATAGAATTCTTATAAAAAAATCATTCACACTGGTTAAGGAATAATTACAGATAATAATTGAACTACCTAAGGAAAAATCGCAAGAAAACACTCAATTTTCTATATTATCTCTATTATCTCTATTAAATACAAACGAATGCAATCATATGTCGTTTCGATGATATGTTATTTTCATAGCGTCGATCATTTCTTCAACTGCTAGAGACTCATAGCACAATCTTATTGGATTGTCCGGAAAGTTCGTGCCGCAAAAGAATTAAATTTCATAAATGTATAAAATTTAAATCTTCTGCGTTTCAATTTTCCTTCAAAATCGGCACGAACTTTCCGGACAAGATAGATAAGCGAAAATAAAAGGTATTCACTTTATCCAGGGCGTTCATTTTGCTCCAGCTTCTCCTACATAAAATCGCAATGCATTATAATTACGTTCTGTGTTGTACAATAATTAATTGTTTGTCAACGGCTAATGTTTTACCATAGAAAGAAATAAATTAATTATTGTGTGTGCTATAACATTAATAATACAACTATG